CCTGCGAAGGATATTCTATTCAGCTGCTTGTATTCGCGATCTTGTCCTTTCGATCATTACCCAGATCTTATGACCATAGGTGAGGGTGGGAAGGTAGATTGATCGGTAAATCAAGAACTTTGTCCCCTGACTCAGCTTTCATTTCCCCACGACAGTCCGATACAGTGATCGCATCTTTGCCGATGCTGTACCGATCCCTCTGTTGATCTCACACTCCATCCGTCCCTCACTCATGAACAAGACCCCGAGAAACTTGAACTCCTCCACTTGAGACAAGGACTCTCCATCGACCTGAAGAGGGGAGTCCATTTTTCTCCGGTGGAGAACCATGGCCTCAGATTTGGAGGTGCTGATACTCATCCTGGCCACTTCAAACTTGGCTGCAAACCACCTCAGTGCACGTCGGAGGTCCTGATTGACGAGGCAAACAGGTATCCTGAGGTTCCCAAACCGGACACCCTCCGGTCCCTGGCTGCCCCTAGACATTCTGTCCATTGATGTAATGAAGAGAACTGGTGACAAAGGGCAGTGCTGGCGGAGACCAACATTCACTGAGAACAGCTCTGGCTTACTGCCGGAAATGCAAACCAAGCTCGTGCTGCGGACATACAGACAGCCATTAATAGAGAGCCGTGCACCCCATACTCCCGGAGCACCCCCCACAGGGCACGACAGGGACACAGTCAAAAACCTTCTCCAGATCTACAAAACACATGTTGACTGGTTGGACGAACTCCTACGAACCCTCGAGCACCTGATGAAGGGTATAGAGCTGGTCCAGTGTGCTGGGACTGGGATGAAAACCGCATTGTTCCTCCTAAATCCTCCATCAGAGAACCAGAAATCTGGCTGATTAGATGAGGGTGAGAGCAACAGCTGTTAGCTCTTGGTCACATGACCCATTCAGAGGTTGATCGATCCTCTGAGGTCACAGAGGACAGTTTATGAGGAATGCAGCAAAGAGGGAGGATCAATATGCAGCAGGAGATGAAGATGGAGCTGAAGGATCATTTGATGATCTCAGATTAAGCTAATCCTGGGGTCAAAGGTTAAACAGTGCAGCTTTAATGCTCTGAATATCCTTCTGTACATGATGGATTCCTGAGGACATTAAATCTACTTTTATTAGTAGATTTAGCTGTATTTATGAATAGAAAATAGGATTGGAATATATATTCCTATTAGGAATATATATTCACAAAAGGACGCATTATTTTTATGCTTGCCCTGAGAGCTTATTTTTCATGTATCTATACCTGTATTGGCAAAACATGTATTTTTGGTGTGGCTTCTCCAAGCTGCTCATGAGATCCAGATTTATAAATGTGTTTTAATTGTTGTAATTTAATCTTAATTGAAATATCTAATGTAACTCTTTTAATTGTGACACATATTTTAATACAGGCTGCTGAAGGCTACCCAAGGATCTCCAGGATGCAGTATAAACAAATGGAGGCCATTTCATTTTATAGTTATCATTATGTAGAAAGAAAATATGTTTTTCAATTTTTATATATAAAAGAGTTTCATTTTAGTTTTTTGGAATGGAAAAAGAGGGAAATTCTCACAGACTCTAAATTAGTGCAAACTGGCCTGTCCCTGAACACAATGTTATGTTGCTCACAATAGAAGAAGATAGAAAAAAAACTGAATAACCAGATGGTGCTAATAAACACTATTGATTGATTAATATTATTTATCTTAGGAAATGGAAGAGGCACATTCCTGGATTTCATACTTGGTTCTTGTTTAAATATTAATAAATATATAAAAATGAATGAAAACATCACTGTCCCCATTTCCTATTTTACTTTTTATAAAAGGTATTTATTTTTATTTATGTGCTGGAAATTTCCTCAGATTAGATTGGAGAAATCTGTTCTCCTTATACTGTCCTCCCCTTCACCACTAGCTGCCCCTCCTCTTTCAACCCACCACCAGCGTCACACTCTAAGAAGAAAGATGTCTCTAGATCTACCTTCACAAGCAGACCTGCTGGATTCAGCACCATCATTTACGCCGAGGCCCCAAAATCATATGTTTCTTAGGTCAATAAAATGTTGGCATCACCGCTTTTTTTTCTGTGTGAGTCTCTCCAGGTTGAGTTGAATGCTTTACTACCACAGTTGGCTGTTTTAAACGCTAAATAAATCCATAAATTAATAAAAACCAAACAGTTCTAATCATGCAACACTAAACCAAAACAGGCCTTTAAAAGCTGAAAATACAGGTTAAGAATATTAACACCTGAAGTTGAAACGGTGGAACGTTTACCTCCAAGTATCTACTTTGCTTTCAGTTTCAAAGCTGTCTCTATTTCACAGAAGAGCTGTTTGTATTTCTCTCCCAATGCATCGCTGCAGTCTTAATCTTCTTTTTCAACTGTTTCTGTGTTTGTTTTCATATTGTTGTGTAGAGCATCAAGCCAAAGCCTGATTTTAAAGATTTGTCTTGGTCTCCATGATGGTAGAAATCCCCTAAAGAACCTTAGAAATAGAAGATCTGCAGCTGGACTCGGACAGTTTTCCCAGTTTTCTCTTCTTTTGGCCAGAAATCTACTAAAGTTTGGGAGTAAATCCAATAGTCCCTCTTCATCATCATCTTCATCATCACGTTCTGCTCCTGACTCACTGCAGAGACGGATGATGGTCTTTGGATCAAAGATTGTTTCCCCTGATTTAACATCTTTATCAGAAGCTGACTATGTTGAAATAAACAGAAACCAACAGCAATATGTAAATAATTTTTATTTTGAGTATGAAAAAGTAAAGCACATTAAATCTCTTTTATTTGGAGGCTCTGGATGAAGACATGTTCTCCTTAAGATGATGAAGCTGTGGATATGTGAGCAGAACATGCCACAGTAGAAAGCATACACTCAAAACATTTAAATCCAAGTACGTTACTTTTCCTTAATATAAATATATTTTTTCTTTGATTTGAGTTGACAACTGAGATAAAAACAGATTCATTATTTATTTTAATTGCATAGTAGGTAGTTATCTATTTTATGGTCAGAAATATTTCTTCAGATTGGCTGATCATCTTATTTACCTCTTCAAATTAAGAGCAAATACACTTATTTCAAGAAAAATGTACTTATTTTTAGATGTTTTTTTTTCAGTAACTCTTTATTCAGTATCGTAGCGTTCCAGTTGTCATCCTTGAGGATGAGGAGCTAAACTGAAAGGGAATAAATGATAGAAAGTATTTCTATGGTCATCCACAAACAGCAGCAGCAAAAAAAGGACAGATAGTGGAAAAGATGAAACCTAAAGTTCATCCATCCCTTTACTTGATTAAACCATCTATATCATCTTTATCATTTAGCATTAAAAGAAAATACCAGCAAAATCTTATATTTCCTACTGATAAGGATGTTTTCTTGTAATTTAATAATTTCACATCTTTCATCTTGTTGTCCTTCATTCAGACCCAAATGTTTAAATATCATTAGTGACCTTGTTTCATACATTCATGGCCTCTGATGATCATTTAACAATCCTTGCTTTAACAACTGTTTTATGAAAGCAGTTGCTTATTCTTTAACCTGGAAAAGAGCTTCTTGATTTCAGTGGACTGAAGACCGTAAATGATGGGGTTTAAGCTGCTGGGGACGATGTGGAAGAAGATGCTACAGAGTTTCCTGTAGTCTGAGTACTGAGGAAAGCGATGCAGAGTGATGATAGACACCCCACTGAACAACATGACAAGATACACAACCAAGTGGGTGCTGCAGGTTTTCAGGGCCTTGCTGTTGAAAGTTTTGCTCTTACTGATCAGACAGACGGCGGTGATCTTGGTGTAGGTGAGGACGATGCTGCCTATGGAGGCCGTGAACAGGACCACCGTAAACGTCAGGCCGTAGATGTTATTGATGACCACACTCTCACAAGAGAGCCTGAACAAGGCTGCGTTGTCACAGTATGGACTGGTGATTAAAGTCCTGCATCGGTTCAGCCTTATAGTCAGACCCAGCAGAATCCCAACCAGAACAAAGGCCGTCCCCCAGGCAGAGACAGTCAGCTTCAGCACCATCCTGTTGGTCATTATTACAGAGTAACGCAGAGGGTTGCAGATGGCCACGTACCTGTCAAAGGCCATGATCATCAGCACCATGTGGCAAGCAGTGCCGAAAATATGTATAGTGAAAGCCTGAACAACACACTCATAGTAGCTGATGAGACGATCCGCAGGGGGTCTTAAAACATCAGACAGAAGCCGTGGCAGCATGATGGAGTTACCGAGAACATCATTAAATGGCAGGTTGCAGAAGAGCAGGTACATGGGCTGATGGAGGCTTTTATTGACGATGATCAGAGAAGCTATTCCCACATTGGCAACAATGATAAAAACATATGAGAACAAGAGAAAGAAAAATGCGAGGTACGGTGAATAGCTAAAGATGCTTAAACTCTCCAGCTGGAGAGTCAAGCTGTTGTATGTGAGGTTTTCCATGGATACTAAAGAGCAGGAAGAGACCCCTTCAAACTACAAAACAAACTACTCTAAATATCCTTCACTCCTGTCCTGTTGGTCAGCCATCCTGCTAGAAATGTTTTGGCAATATGCTTCAGTGTGTCTGACCTTCCATCCCTGCTCACAGCTGGCAGTGTTCATGACGACCAATGCTTCAGAGTTTTAAAGACACGATTGCAGCCTAAATGACGTAATTACCCACACAACAATTATGATGCAACATGAGGCACACACAATGAGAGCAGCATCCTTTGATTATTTTCATCCAGTCTTTTATCCCCCTTTTCTTACAGGATCTTCAGGGGTCTGGTGGTCTCCAGTTGTTTACTGTGAGGTGGGGTCCTCGTGTCTTAGCATCAGAGTGAGGACTGTTTATTTTTTTCTAATTTACCATCAAGTGAGGGCTATTTTTCCAAAGTGGAGACGTTTTCTTTATCTTAACTTTGTTTCAGTTTGGTTTAGCTCTAAGATGCAAATGAAGTTGAGGTTCAGGTTAGGGTTAGGCCTACTCTAGTAATGGTTTATGGTTATTTTCAAGGTTAGTGCATAGAGTGGACATTTTTTGTTATACTGTGGGGTCAATTTCCCTGAAAGATGGAGACCTAAAGGTCCACTTATAGGACATAAATCAGCTCCTTCCTGATCACTCTGCTTTCTCCCTTCAGATCAATTAGAAAGTTCATCTCACTTCCTGTAGTTCTCCTCTTCCAGATTGTTGTTGCTTTTGTAAATAAAACTTTAACATTCACTGGTTCTGCATGCGATTCTGCTGATGGGTCAAGATACTCCAAGCCAAAATGACAGGGTTAGGGTATGATTTATAGCCATGGTATAGTGTAGTGTAGTATAGTATAGTATAGTATAGTATAGTATAGTATAGTATAGTATAGTATAACAGCCATAGTATAGTACATAGTACAGCAGACATAGTGAAGCAGATTAGTTGATGGAAAAATTATTAAAAGTTTCCCTGATCATTAGACTATGGANAAACTTTAACATTCACTGGTTCTGCATGCGATTCTGCTGATGGGTCAAGATACTCCAAGCCAAAATGACAGGGTTAGGGTATGATTTATAGCCATAGTATAGTATAGTATAGTATAGTATAGTATAGTATAGTATAGTATAGTATAGTATAGTATAGTATAGTATAGTATAGTATAGTATAGTATTACAGCCATAGTATAGTACATAGTACAGCAGACATAGTGAAGCAGATTAGTTGATGGAAAAATTATTAAAAGTTTCCCTGATCATTAGACTATGGATAAGATACAGATGAATTTAAGATATCTATATTTCTCTGGTAAAATGTGAAATTTATGTTATTTAATTTAATCAGTGTGTCTCATTTTCTGAACAGTTTAACTGAAAAAAAGCATGATGATCAAGGGGATTTAGGATTAAATCAACTGTGTAATAAACTCGTTACATAAATGTTTACATTTTGATTTAGTTACACTATTAGTTTGTCGGGTTTACACCCACCATTGTCATGAGATTGACGCTGATGACTGGCTTAATTACTTATTTCACTTATCTGTCTAATCCTGCCCGGTTTCTCATTATTCATTCCTTTCCTTTCATGCAGCTGGATTTCCCTCTGGAACCTCTCCGGAAATCTGGTTTCCTGTTTCCTGAGCACGTCCTCTGCATTGGCTTTGGCTTCACCCTCTGGATTTTCACCCACCGGCAATATGCGGCAGGTGCCACTTCTTGTTCTTTGGGCATGGACTGCACTGTTAAACCAGGTTAGTGACTCACAAGTTCATAATCATCCTCCGTCAGAGTTATGTGGCTTTTAACCTGTTTCTCTCGTGCAGAGGTTCCTGCCTGAAACGCCCAAACCTCTACCACTGTAGATCCGTTGTTTTAATAAACGTTTTTTGAGTAATCCCACTGTATGTCTTGCCTTGAATACTAGGTCCTCTCTTCTGAGTCGTAAAAACCATAAGTTATAGAATCTACTTTATGTGGAGATTTTGGTTTTTAGACGCTGTTGCTATTATGATGCAAAGCTGGGTAAAATCCTTTCATTGTTCTTCAGACACTAAACTGGAACAGATGAAACAGATTGTCTTTGATACTTGTTTAAGAACCTCGCATTTAGCCAGACACTGAATTTTAAAGGTTTATTAAAAATGTTTTTGAATGTAAGTTGACTGGCTGGTAGCCAGCTCGAGCAGACAGGTGAAGACAAAAACCTGTTAGTGACCAGCAGAAAAAGAAGGGTAGCAGGTTTGAGGAGGCAGGTAAAGGCAGAACCGGCTGGTGACAGGCTTTACTGGCTGAATGCAGACTTCACAAGCCAGACATTCATTGGTCAGAATGTAACCAAGCGTTGAACAGACTGTGTGCGGATAGAAAAGACTAGTAGCAGACAGAAACAGTCTAGAATATGGGCGACGAGAATCCAGTGAGGGCAGGCCAACAGCAGGAACACAGGAAGGCTGATAGGCCACACTGATATTGTTGTGTGGCCCAGGAATAAAGGACTCAAATGCAAGACCTGACACAGTGGATTCAAACTCAAAGTTCCTTTAATACAGTCCTGGGTTGAATACCAAAAAAATGCAGCAGAAACAGGAGTATCAAAAACAGAGGCAAAGACAGGTCCAAATCAAAGCCTGGGTAAAAACACTAAAAAGCTTAAGTCTAACAGACAAAAAGGCTGGAACGCTAAGCTCTAAGAACCAAGACAAACTGGCAAAGGGAAGGTGCAAGAGTGGGAACAACATATTCTAACAAACAAAAGAGGAGCACATACACCAGGTGAATGGCATTAGGCTGTGGCAGATCCTGGCTGCAGGAAGGAACTTAGGAAGTTATGCTGCCTAAAACGAGAGAGGAAAGAGTACAAAATAAAACAGGAAGTGAAAAGACAAGGTAATACAAGTGACATTTATCTAATCAGGACTGCCCCTGACAGATACTGTAATGATCCAGATAGGAGCCAGGAGGAGACATTCTGGTGGGGCATAACTGAGAGAGGCAAGTATAAGTTGGGTAAAAGCTTAGAGGAATGAGGGTGATTTTGGGATGTGGCAAGTCAATCTGTTTACCTCTATTCACAGAGTGGTGCTGGGCAAGGAGAGGTAAGAAGCCATCCCAAAAAACAAACAAAGATGCAGGACTGTTGAAAGCTGGTCAGGGTTAGAGATGCAGAGGCACCAGGTCTGGCAAAAGCAGGGGAAGTTGTTCTCAGCTATAGGCAGTTGGGGTATTGTTCATTTAATTTGTCTTTTAAAAGCACAATGAAAAGCTAAGCTAGCAGGTTAGCTACCAGATATACCATGTTAGCACCTTTGAACCAAGTGCCAAGATGCTCCCAGAATCAGAATTACTTTATTAATCCCTTGCGGGAAATTCTTTTCTTCCAGTGCAACCGTTTACAGAAGTAGCAAAATAAAATATAATATGATAAGATGGAATAAAATAGGCAAATAAAATATGTAAAATGACAAACAATTAATTACACCCTTCAATTCAATTAAAATTATTTCTATTGCGCCAATTCACAACACATGTCATCTTAAGGCACTTTACAGTTCACCAGATCATACAGTCAAGTTCATTCAAAGTTCTATCTAGAGAAAACCAGTTGATTGCGTCGACTCATTGACTCGAATGCAATCCCTCACACTAAGCATGCTTGTAGCGACAGTGGAGAGAAAAAACTCCCTTTTAACAGGAAGAAGCCTCCAGCGAAACCAGGCTCAGTGTGAGCGGCCATCTGCTGAGGCCAACTGGGGTTCAAGGAGACAGAAGCAGAGATAGAAAAAGCAGCTGTAAAAGGCGGCCCCGTCCAGGAAACACACAGCCAGGCAGAAGAGCTCTGAGCCAGCTCCCATGTCAGAGGATGAAGAGAGCACATCCAGCTAGTCACAGTCAGAGAAACAGGACTACACTGGAAAAACAGGCCGATCTCCAACATCTTTAAACAAGGGTGTTGATGGAAGCAGCACAGCTGATATTTCTCTCCAGGATGGTGTCAAAGCCAAACAGGAACAGACAAGGCAAAGCTACTCTGAGAAAAAGCAGAGAGAGCATAACGTTAGAGATTGAACTAAAAGATTCTGCAGAGTTGGAAAATAGAGATAGAATGAAGAAGAATTATGAAATGGGGTCCCTATGTCCTCTAGAATCTCTAAGAAATGCTATAGGAGAGATATGATCTCTCTTTTTAATTTTCATCAGAACTCTGGCTGCTGCATTTTGGATCAGCTGAAGGCTTTTAACTACATTTTGAGGACTTTCTGATAGTAAAGAATTACAATAGTCCAGCCTTGAAGTAACAAATGCATGGACTAGTTTCTCAGCATCACCCCTGGACAGGATATTTCTGATTTTTTAAACGAGTCTCTCACTGAAGGTGCTTCTATGGGCGACTAGCACATCAGGAAGAGGATGTTCAGAAGTGCATGGATTTTAACCTGGCCAACATTCTCCTCTCTGACACTGCAGTCAGAGTCCACCTCCTCTCCAACAACTTAATCGGCCTTGCAGAAGAGTTTGTTGCCTGTTGGCCTGTTGGCGTCCTTTACCTATGTTTCATATGTTATTAAAACATTTATGACAAACTGTGTTTTAATGAAGGCTTAACTACTAATTTGCAATTAACATATAGTTTTTTTTCTAATTCACTCATTAGACCAAACGTGTCATAAAAGGTTCCTTTGCTTCTGCTAGCCCTTAGCTCCTTTGTCTAAAAGTTCTTTCACTGACTAACAAGGTTTGCTCCTTTATCAGATGACGTCATGCTGCCACACAGCAATGGTACTTTTTTGAAGCTTTAAATCTAAATTAGCTACCAGATTTTTAGCTAAGTGGATAATCTAGAAACTCATCTGCCTGTCTGTCAATTAGAGACCTTAATGACCATCATAAAGTTTCCCTCCACCATTTGAAAGGTTCCTAAACCAGCTGGTATTTCTTCAGGAATATTAACATGACATAATAAGCATCAATTATCTCCACAGTCTACAAGTTGAATTTCTAACTGAAATATTTATTTTTTCTTAAAAAATATTTAACATTAAGCTGATTTTTGTTTATAAATTCCTATTTTGAATGGCATTGGTGAATTTATTTCATATGTGTGCAGAGGTAACTTTCAGACCATTCTCATGCTTGAATTCACTCTTAATTAGTTTTCTTAAAACCACAGTTATTTGGACATGTTCATGATTGCAAATTAGTTAACATGAATCAATTTAAGTGCACAACACAGGTTACCTCTGTTAATTCATTATCACTTCACTGTGCTCCTTGTAATAAAAATGACTTTAGTTTCCTTCAGCTATGGTTATAATGTCTGAATGTACCTGATGTTCCTGTCTGTTCCTGTAAGAAAGTTCTGGATCATGGCTGGAAGCAGTCAGCATTCTCCTATTAACAGCTATAATCTCTCATAGTCTGAATCTTAGATTTATCTGCTTCTTTGTTATTGATATAATTATATATATGCAGTCTTGATGTCACTTTCTGCTCTGTGAAGTGGAGGATATATTTGTTAATAAAAACACAGAACTTACTCCAAAATATTCTTTTATTGTGCAAATTTCATGAAACAATTAATGCATTTTTTTTACCTTTGTACTTAGGCCTCGTATAACAAAGGTAGATGTGATATTGTAGTTGCCTTTAAGCATTAATGTAAATATGGGCAGCATGAGAAAAGCAACCACAGCTAATCATCCCGTGCTGTGCACGGCAGTGGAGGCTGATGATCTGGGCTCGTAGGAACCAGCCATGACTCCATCATCATCCCAGAGTAGCTTAGAGTGACAACAGATAAAGGAGTAATACTTGAACGCAGGGAAAAGGGCTCCAGAAAAATGTTTCAGGTGCTGAAGGAGTGTTTCTTCTCAATGTCATGCTCTTCTTCTCTGATTATTATGATAAGAACGTATGAAAAAAAACAACCAGAATTGCATCTAAAGTGTTTTCTGAGAAAGGGTTCTAGTAACAGAGATGGTATATTGTTAACAAAAGGTCTGCTGCTGGGATTCACCACATCAATTCCTCTCATCTGATTTGCTGAAAGGAGAGAACAAAAGAGGGAAGACATGCTGGGTTTTTTCTAACCTTAAACATTATACAATGTTCTAATCATTGGTTAGCCTTTGGAGCATTTCATACAAATGAAGATAGCATTTGTTGTTTCTTAAAAAAAAAAAGTGCTTTCAGACCAAGTCAGTCTTCTTTAAGATGACATCAAAACTTTATTTGAGGAAAACATCCTTGAGAAATATTTCCGTATCTCTTTGGACTGCAGACCATAAATGAGGGGGTTGAGGATTCCAGGAACCACATGAAACAAAACAGCAGCGATTTTTTTGGCCTCAGCATATTGAGGAAAGCGATGCAGAATAATGATGATTATTCCGCTTAAGAACATGATGAGATAAACAAGCAGATGGGTGCTGCAGGTTTTTAATGCCTTTTTGTTCAAAGTATTGTTCCTGCTGGTCAGACAGACCACAGTTATCTTAGTGTAGGTGATAACCATGCTGCCGATGGACGCTGTGAAGAGAACCACGGTGAAAGTCAGCCCGTATGCGTTATTGATGAAAATATTGTCACATGAGAGCAGAAACAATGCAGCGTTATTACAGTATATGCTTCTCATGAACGTCCTGCATCGGTTCAGCCGTATGGTCAGACCCAGCAGAATCCCGACCAGAACCAGAGCCACCCCCCAGGCGCCCGCCGTCAGCTTCACCAGCATCCTATTGGTCATTATTACAGAGTAACGCAGAGGGTTACCGATGGCCACATACCTGTCGAAGGCCATGATCATGAGCAAGGTGTGGGACGTAGTGTTAAACATGTGTATGATAAATGCCTGGAGGACGCACTCATAGTAACCGATGAGGCGGTCAGAGGGCGGCCTAAGGATGTCCAGGAGCAAACGGGGCAGAACAACGGTGTTCCCTAAAACATCGTTGACTGAAAGGTTCAAGAACAGCAGGTACATGGGCTGGTGAAGCCTCTGATCCAGGAAAATCAGAGCAGCGATCCCAACATTGGCAACAACAATAAACAGATAGGAGAGAAGGATGAAAAGAAAGGCAGCCAATCGGGACTCCTCCGAGACATCCAGGCCCTCCAGCTGCAGAGTGAAGCTGTTGAAGGTGTAACCCTCCTCAGACCTAAAAGAAAAAAACATCATCTGTGATACAATCTTTGCTCAACACCATCAGCATCTATTGGAAAAATCTGATATGGAAATGAATTACTTGTTGAGGATGATATTCCTCAAGTCTGTAGGAGCATGTGTGGGGATGTTCAGCATGTAGATGAAGGTCTCCATCATAGCAGGTATAATCAGAGGGCTGAAGATCTGTAAGGTAGATCTTTTACACAACCATGACTTAAACTATAGAAATTAAACTCACGTTACTTTCAGCTCCTTAAATCAAATAAGAATGAAAGAAAAGAAAATTATTAGTAATAGGGAGTCATGCATACATCCATGCATGTTGCTGTTTCCCTCCTATCGTCTCGGACTGTCTTCCTGTCTGGAATCAAATGCAGGAGCTTTAATAAGATGTTTGCTGTTTAAATGGTGCCCAGAACATTATGTGGCCCGTAGGGAGGGATGGAACAACACAACCAATCCCCCGGTGGAGTTCCGCCAGTTAAACTTTAGCTTTAGGTTCTCAGAAAAAAAAATAGAAAACTAGAAAACTCAGCTTCAGTGTAGGAAAATCTCTGTGTGTCTGCAGCTCTATAGAAGCTAGAGTTATAGACCCAAACAAATTAAAATCCATCTGATATAGAGGCCTTAGATGCAGAGGTCTGCACAACCTTTAATAAAGTGCAACTTTGTATCAATAATTCTTGCCTGAAATGACTTCTTATCTGTTCAGAGCATCAAAATCATAAATATATTGCAGAGAAACTACCAAAAATTTAAAGAAACCTAATTACTTAAATGCTCTCTCTACTTTTTCTCATCATAGTCTGGTCTGTTCCTGTTTAGCTGTCTCCGTTCTGGAGAGAGAGATATCAGCTGAGCAGCTGCTATCGACGCCTTTGTTTATAGAAGTTGGAGCTTGGCCTGTTTTTCAGTGTAGTCCTGTTTCTCTGACTGTGACTAACTGGATGTGCTCTCTTTCATCCACTGACGTGGGAGCTGGTTTGGAGCTCATCTGCCTGGCTGTGTGTTTCCAAGACAGGGCCTTTTGTATCTCTGCTTCTTACTCTATGTCTGCCTAAGTCTCCTTGAACCCCAGTCGGCCTCGGCAGATGGCCGCTCACACTGTGCCTGGTTCTACTGGATGTTTCTTCCTGTTAAAAGGGAGTTTTCCTCTCCATTATCACAACAAGCATGCTTTGTAA